TGAGGCGATATGCAAGAACTTGAATTAATTGAACTTGAATTAATGACATTTTTAACTACTAGGCTTAACTAATTTCCAACTTTAAAACTAAAGATCTGTTAAACATTATTTAATTTATCATTTTAGTGGCGTTCTAAAGTTATTACAGAGTAGAGCTCTATATTACAGCGCAGACAAAATCTGACTAAACATTAATTAGCCTATTATTATTATTGAGATTTATAAAAGATAAAAATGCTGGAAACAGACGTGTTGTTGGTTAAGGATGTAAATACACAAAAAAATAGTGTGGTTTGAAAGAATCTGAAAACAGCAAGTAGCCAGTTTTTTGTTTTGTTTCCATATATTGCATATCCCAAAGGAGTCATGATTCAGCATCAAACATCTATACAAGACAGGCTGTCTATGCATCTCAAATAAACACAGGTACATTTTCTGCCAAATTTCTAGTGAGAATGGAAACTACCATCTGTACTGTGATTTAACTGTACCATAGGCCTACGTCATGTGCCACAAAGCAGGAAAACTAAAAATGTGCAGTTCATACTAAAAATACTTTACAGCCCGAAATGGGATGCATTCCAGTGAATTTAAGGAACCCCAGAAATTAAGTAAACATTTTAGTTCCGTTTCAATCACTGTCAAACAAAATGGAGCAGTTCGCCCTTCCCTGAATCACTGCGTTTTAGCTTCAGTCCGGACAGAACTTTTTGGGTCGTTTTCTCCTCTGTCGGATGCCTCCTCAAGGATCGGATCAGGCGCTCTCTCCCCACCAGGGTGTTATTGGATTGGTTGGTATTTCGTTTTCCCATTTGTCCCACATGTTCTTTGAACGAAGAAGCTACTGCTTTAACCCCCTCATCCGATACAGTTCTTTTTACCCCTGCATGAGGTGCAGTCTGAGTCTCAGAGGTGTATGCAGTCTTATTCTGCGGGATGGGGGTCTCATGTAGTAGGCAGTGAGTTTTCATTGGGGTCTGGGGCTCAGGAGAGGAGCTGCGACTGCTGTCTGTGCTTCTTGAAACAACTCCTTCCCTGCTCCCAGAATTATCCTCGTCCCATGACTGAGAGCCTGCTTTGCATAATTGCGCTCCTGCTGAACCCTGTCTGTGGTACTTCACTGGCTGCCTGCTGAAGTGAGCCCTCGACTGAGTTTGTAATTGACTTTCTGTAGCCTGCTCCAAATGCACCTGAGGAGATGCTGTCACCCTCATAGCCAGGACTAGAAGAGATACAGAACAAAACCAGACATTAACAACAGTATCATAGAACAAAACTTTACATTTGATTAGTTTCTCTTTTCTAATTAAAGATTATAATCAAGAGAAATATTTGAGAAATGTCTTTAATCTCTTCGCACATTTAGACAAAAAGCATTTATTTGAGCATCTTATAGTAGTCAAAAGTTTGACTGAAACAGCTTTGCTTATGACAACAGGAAGAAAATTATTGGCAATGGCACAAAAACACAGAGCAAATAGTTTGCGCAAGCAGCAAGCTGATATTGAAGGTCAATGTCTTTTAAAGCCCGCCTACCTGCTCTCTCATTGGCTTCTGGGCTCAGCTGGTCCATTGCTTCATTGGATGATGACTTGTCAGAAATATAACCCTCACTTGAATCTCTCTTGATAGTGCGATTCTGTTAAAATGATAGAAATTCTGAATATAAGTTGACTTGAGAGCCAAAAAGGCAGAAGGATCATTTTGATTTTTAAATTGCTATATTATAATATTTTAGTATTATTTTGTAAATAAAGTGTCAGTGAATTTCAATTAAGATTTATAATGTAAACTTGTTACATACATTATCGTTTAAAACTTTGGGGTCAGTAAGATCTTTTTAAAGTCACTTTTATTCAGAAAGGATGCATTTAATTCATCAAAAGTGACTGTAAAGAGACGTATAATGTTACAAAAGATTTCTATTTCAAATAAATGCTGT